TTGCTTGTGCTGCTGCTTGTGTCCGTCATGCTGCCAGGCGTCGACCTAGAATGAGCCAGGTATTGACTTGCTCATCTTTTGGGTCACATGCCTTATGTCTATTGGTCTAAGTATAGATTTCTGTAATTGGAAGTTCTAGTTATATCTTAAATTAGTATTACGTATATCATAGCAATCATTAAGGATCCGTGTGGTGGCCTGATTTATCTTGTTATGCTGTAAATAGCCTTTGACTTACAAAATTGGTTGAACTGATATTCCTGAATGCCTTTCATTGTCAGAAAATTCAGTGCATTCAGCCATTTCAGCCAAATAACCCTTAAAATACGGGCCCTAAGGCTCCATTTGCTAGCCTTGTTTGGCTTACTCTGCTAATCAGCATAAGTAGCTTTTGACTTGCTATTTGGCTTAAAAAGGGATCTTATGGAGGACTTTTATCAGTCTCAGCCAAATAACCCTACGAGTGCTATATAAAGAAGGTTATGCTCAACTTTTGAAACAGCACTCCTTTCCTGAACAATAAACCTCCTTTCGAAAAGTTACCGTCTTGGCCACCAAAATTATTTTCTTTCCCAAATCAACCCCATTTGGTCCTACTATGTTTCAGCACCCTTACATCTCACACCTGACACTTCATAACACTGATGGTGATCATCTCATGATGTAAATATAAGCAGCATAATCTTGTATATGCTTTTGAATTTAACAGGTTGTGAGGGCTTTAGAAGGAGACATGTCATTATCTGATCTCAATGAAGGAATCCGGCCGGGGCACAGCTCGGCGTATGGAAGTTCATACGGAAGTTCAGACTATGATACTATGCAATACAATGAAGACATGAAGAAAATGAGAAAGATGGCTCTCGGAAGCCAAGAATATGGTGGTAGCACGGGTCAGTATAGTAACCCGACCAGTGAATATGGGTTAAACCCGTCAGGGTCGAGCAGCGAAGGTCAAGAAACGGAGATGAGTTTGAGGATGAACAAAGACAGTAGAGGGTATGGGACATATGGTGGAAGATAATAACAGCTTCTCATTCCATTGGATGTGTATAAGTTCATTCTACTATAGGCTAACCCTATTCTTTTTCTACTCCTGAATTTTGTGTGAAATATTCTTTTTTCCCCACCCAATCGTTGTATTTATTAATAATAATTTATTCATTCAAAAGAGATGAGGTGCTTGAGTGTTCATATGAGTATAATTGGTTGGTTGTAGACTTCTATGTTTGTTCAGACTTCTTACTCAACTTCTTGCTTTGGTTGTCCTTTTTCTTTTTTAGTTTTTAACCATATTTTGACAGTTGGGTTTGAATCAGCTACAGGTGGATGATTAGGAAAAGCAAGCTGTCAATTTCTTCTTTAGGAAACCTTGACTTTACACCATAAGTTATTCCAGCATTAGACTTGGCAAGTTGGCATAGAATAACCCTTTGTATTAAGAATATTGAATACAAAGTCAAATATGGGTGGGCAAGTTATGTCACTTATGGCGCTCATTATATTTTGGTGAAATTCTTTTAGGGGAAATTGATCGGCTAATTAATCAAAAGGATCATAAGTGACAAAAAATATGTAGCCATAAATAAAACTAAGAATGAACAACATTAAAATCTGAGACCAATGCTAATAAGCTTGTTAATTCATTTCGACGTAAATCCATATGATTTCACTATTCTAAGATTATAAAAATTATATTTATATCATATAAATCATTTGAAATTGCATAAAACCCCTTAAAACGTAGTGAAAATGATGATTTTTCAAAACAAATGTTTGAAAAGAATGATTTTGATTATAAAATGTAATCCTTAATTAGTTAATTACCTCCCGGAATTATATTCCAAATTCTTTTTTCGATCGTCCAAAAATAATCATCCCTTCCCTTTGGCAAAAAAATTCTAGTTCACGACACTTCTTAGGACATATATTCTTACATACTCCGTATTTGTTTATCTTCAGTCCTCATGCTAAAAGTACGGAACATAAATTTAGAGACGGTGTGGGAGTATAAAATTTGCTACAACCTAGTGTAAAACAAATGGAGAACCTAGTGCATCACTTACAAGTGAGGAAATTATATTTTTGTATGACTATTATATGTACGTAGTGTCAGATTTATGCTTGGACTCGGGCCGGGCCACCGGTTCCATATGCTTAGGCCCGAGACCGGCCCGGGTCTTGACCGGTTCCGGGCCGGGCCGGTTCCGGTTCTTTTTTTTATTCTAATTTATTTCACCCCCACCCCCCATCCCCCCAACCCCCCAAACCCCTCAGAAATACCCAGCCCAACCTAGGGGTGGATTCGATTCGGGCCACCCGGCCCGTGACCCGGCCCGGCCCGCTACTGTGCGGGCCCGGGACCGGCCCGGTCGGGCGGTCCGGGACCGGGTGTAGACCCGAACCGGCGGGGAGGGGCGGGGCGGGTACGGTTCCTGAAAAAGTTGACCCGACCCGGCCGGGTCGGGCCCGGGCCCGGGTCCAACGGTCCAATTTTTAAAAAAAAAATTGTTGGGCCCCAAACTAGCCGTTATGACCTTGGGGGGTGGGCTGGGGACAACCCAAACGGCTATATAGCCGTTGGGGTGGGGGGTGGGGGGTGGGGGGTAAAAAAACCCTATAAATACTCCTAATCTTAAACATTTTTTCATATCTCTTCTCCAATTCTTCCTAAATCCTATTCTTAACTCTCTACTCTCTAATTCTCTTATTCTCCAATACTCCCTCCGTTCCCAAAAATACTTCCCACATTCCTTTTTGGACTGTTCCCAAAAATACTTCTCACTTTCCCATTTTGGATAATTTGTGTGGCTCACATTCATTTTACCTTTTTCCTACACAACCACAACCATACATTTCCACTTTATTCCACTTTCTTAATAAGCGTGTCAAGTTAAACCGGGAAGAATTTTTAGGAACGGAGGGAGTATATTATATTTATTATTTATATATCTACTTTATATTAATTATCTACTTATAATTTATAAATACATACATTATAATATTATATTACTTATATTTGTTATCTAATTATATATTACTTATACATTTATTATATCTATTAATATAGCTGGAATTATATCTAATTAATTTGAAGTCATTCTATTACTCCCATCCGAAAGACCGAAACGTCCGAAAGTCCGAAAGAGGTACGAAATTATTCTATTATTTACACTTGTTTAGATTTGTATTAATTTAATTGTTAGTAAAAAAATAGGTTGTACACAAAACTAGTTAATTCACTAGTTAATTTGCTATAACTCAAATTAATAGTTAGATTAATAGTTAATTAATTTATTACAATTTTTTATTAATTGCTACATTTGACTCTAGTTTAAAGAACTAGTTGTAATTCTAATTATAGTTAAAGTTAAAGTGTATTAATTTAATTGTTAGTAAAAAAATAGGTTGTACACAAAACTAGTTAATTCACTAGTTAATTTGCTATAACTCGAATTAATAGTTAGATTCATAGTTAATTACTTTATTACAATTTTTTATTAATTGCTACATTTGACTCTAGTTTAAAGAACTAGTTGTAATTCTAATTATAGTTAAAGTTAAAGTGTATTAATTTAATTGTTAGTAAAAAAAATAGGTTGTACACTTTAGCCTGTAGAGCTCAAGAAATTGACATCACCCCATCCCAACACTTTATGGATGAATCTACAACCGAGGGTGGCGCTACCTATGCCGGAGATTCCGATTGAATGATTGATTAGTATTTCATGTTTTAAAAACAATTGTAGTTCCTATTTAATTTTCAAATGTAGTTCCTATTTCATTTCAAATAAATGCACTTGAAGTTTGTTTTTTTAATACTTGTATAAAACTATAAAGTATAAAATATAAATTATAAAAAAAAATCTTTAACCGACCCGGCCCGGCCCGGCCTGGCGGGTGGCCTGACCCGTGACCCGGGCGGGTGGCCCTGCCCGAACCGGACCCGTCCAACCCTCGGGCCGGTCTCGGGCCCATATGATACGAACCGGCGGCCCGGCTCGTTGCCGGTAAAAAAGGAGCCGGAGAAAAACATTGGCGGAGAAGAAGATCGCCGGAGAGAACATGGGGGCTGCGGGAGCTGCTCACTGCAACCTCCTAGCTTCTTAATTACTTTTTTTATTACAATGAATTTGGGGGTGTTTGGAACTGATTCTGATTCTGCTTCTTTTTTAAAGCAGAAGCAGAATCGGAATCAGTTTTCAGAAGCTGGTCACCCCCAACTTCTAAAAAAACTGATTCTAGGAGTAAATTGGAGCACCAGAATCACTTCTGCACTTTTACCCAAACACTTCAACTTCTGCTTCTGCTTCTGCTCTCTGAAGGAGCAGAAGCAGTTTTAAGAATCAAATCCAAACACCCCTTTTTTAATAATGATTCGTATGTTGATATCACATAGTAAAAAGCTTCCACTAACTTTCCCTGCTTCCCCTTCGATCCATTTCTGTTGCCGTTCTTCCCGATTTTCTTCCCGATTTTCTTCCTTCCTTTTCTATTCTATTCTAATTCAATTGTACGTATCAATCTCCTTTATTTATTAAAATATGAAAAACATGATTGCAATTACTTTTTTCTATAATACGTAGTATATTTTTTACATGAAGATGACTACTATCAAGTTACATCATCTTATGCTCGAGTTACATGTTATTATGTGTGAGTTACATCTTGTTATGCGTGAATTACATCTTCTTATACGTGAATTACATACTTTTATGCGCGAGTTACATCTAATTATGCGTGAGTTACATCTAATTATTTGTGAAATTTTACGTATCTTTATCTTTAACAAATTAAATTACAACATAATTAATTTTTTTCTTTACCAATTTAATACAAAAGAAAACTTTTTTTAAATCGATTTTCTTTTGCAAAAAAATGATTTTTTGGGAAAAATGATTTCTTTAAAAGCAAAACATATTCACTATTTCGGTAAAATAAATAAGAAATTAGACTCTTTTTTATTGTTTACATTGAAATCAATGTTTTTGACAAGTTACATTTCGACTTGCCTGCAGTAATAATTCTTATTAATATGAGTTACACTTCTTTACATATGAGTTACAACATTCATTTTACTGGTACAAAAAGAAAAAAAAAATAATTACTATACACGTTGTATTGTTCACACGATTTTTTTTAAATGATTAAAACATGTAATGACGTGGAAAACTTTGGTGCCACCAAAAAAATCCCCTGCTAATCGTTTAGTGGTAGAACAGCGTGAACTTGCGGATTGAGGAAAGAGGAAATTGTGGATAAGATTGCCCTCAGCTAATCCCCATGTTACCACCAACAATTTCCTTACATTGAAATGCAGGCATTCATCTTCTAACTATCCATCCATCCATCCTGCTCTCCTTTACCATTTTACTGGTACTATCTTCTTATCCTACTATCCTAGCTTCTGCATAAATCTGGGCTTGATATCTGCTAAATACCCGTTGTTTTCTATCCTTTGCTCGACATTTTTGCTATCACTAACTTTTAAATACCCATTCGCGTAGTTCTTCTCTTCTGATAGTACATTAGCAATTTTTCTTTCAGAAGGTATAACTGTGTTTGTTAAGTCCTTCGATACAAAAGTCCCTTTATCTTTTATAAGGCACTCCGTAGTATCTGATTGGAGAAGAGTGTTTCCTGTCAGTAAGCACTGTTTGGTTTGTGGTGTAAACATGAAAAGATAAGTAATTGGTGTGTACCCATTTGAATATTTGTTGCAAAGATTTGTTTTTAAAGTGTACTCATTGAAATTATTATCATACTTATTTATTATTATTCTTAAAAGGGTGTAATATGTAATGGGTGTTTGACTGTTTTTTAGGGCATAATGAAATTCAATGTAATCAAATGTATGTATGTGATGTAAATCTACACCCAAGTCTCGCCCCATCAAACCTGAGCTATGCCACCAACAGTTATTCAGCCTGGTAGATTTGCCTGATCAAACTTTTTACACTCCTGGAGCTTTTTATGTGGGCAGAATCAGAAGAGGCTTTCACCCTCTTGGTGGTTTAAAAGGAAAGTAGTGCAATATGGGTTTACCCTCTTGATTGTTAAAAATTGAAACGGATTAATATAGATTTTATTCTCAATCTGGTAAAAAAGAAAATTTTTAAGGGCTTGTTTTGTTCGAAGTTTTCAGGGAAAAGGAGAGAGGAGGGTTGATTTTTATTTTACTAATTTATCTGTATGTGTTAGTGTTAGACTAGAAATAACTATATGATTAGTAATACCATGCAGTTCAATATAGTTTTTTATCTACACTTTATTATCAACAATCTGAATGTAGAAATAATATGATAAATGATTGTAATACCTCCCCTTCCTTCTATGGAATTTCCAAATCAGACAAACCTTAATCAGATAACATTTAACACTTGCAGGCTGATGATGTTAGAAAGTAATTGACTTCATTCAGTCCCATTTTCCCAATATCGTTGATTTCAAAAGCTGACATGTCTTCATATGCCATATTTGTAGGATTCTTGCTTTTGATGTGGCAGTGCATAGTTGCATACTCTTTGTTGGATGAAATAATAGCCCCCCCGACCGCCTATGTTCTAAGGTATTTGCATTAAGAGGCAGATAGTATGGGAAAAGTCGCTAAAGATGATTCAAATCGTATTAATGCAGAAAAGAATAATAAGGGATTAACCTCAAACACTTCGCAAAGCTCAGCATCGCCTACCACGGTAATCACTATATGTGACCAAGTAGTCATTAGTGAGTTTAAAGTTTAAAGTTGAAATTTTTCTTTTTATTTTCACTTTGTTTTATAGGTTGTTACCTAAGACTTCATTCAAAGGGGTCCTCTTTATTGATATGGTTAACTGAAATTACAGAAGCTATCAATACATTAGGTGATTATTGTTTAGACGGTTTACATTTGGTTGGTTACAGTTATTAAATTGGGTTTAAGTGTATAACTCATTCTAAAAGGATCTTTGAGGTTAGGTTTAAATTATGTATTTACTAAACGTACGATGTGTGACACTTCTCATGTCACCCTCAATCTAAACCAGACTGGATGATTTAAGATGTGGATAAACAGACCAAATTGACCCAATACTCCAATGGGGCTACCTGATGGTGGAAAACAAATAAATAGATCACAATGATAATAGACTTCAATGTCAAATTTTTCCTAATTCACCCCAAATGAATCCTCATTAGGTTAGATTTAACTCATACTTATATATATGGTAAACATATGGCCTTAATAAGAGTCACACCAGAGAGGCTGAGAGGGAGTCTTATTTGCAAGTAACTCATCATCATCATCATTACCCCAGTGCCTCAAAGGCTCCCACCTGCGGTGGGGTAAGGGGGGTCGGATGTACACAGCCTTACCCGTGTACTAAAGCACATAGAGACTCTTTCCGGATGACCTAAGGTGAAAATCGCGTAGAAAATTGCATGAACTGACTGTTGCTTCATAACAAAGAAGCGCAACAGTTTAGTGAGCCATTTTGCTTTATTCCATCATATTCCCAAGCCAAAAAATAGTGAATCTTTGGCTCCATTGCAAATGATGGAAATCTTATTTGCAAGTAACTGAGTGGTTAAATTCAAAATGGCCTGGTTGTCCACTTGAGGGACAGTGTTAGAGCCCTATTCTGAAAATTTGTAGAGTGATTGGTTAATAACACATGCGGTTGAACTAACTAATAGATTTAATTCAATCTAATTCAATCTTTTAGTGTGGTTTGTCCCAAGTGTCTTATGGCTCAAGTGAGTGGCCCTAACTCAATGACAAATACTGTCTAGAAACTTTATGAGAAACTTTATCTGATTAACATTCAATTATCCAATTGGCAGGAACCTGATGTGCATGAAGGCCAATTGCATTTTATTTCACGATCATTAAGCTTCCCTACCCAAGTTGGCTGTGCTGCCTGTCAGGGAAACAGAAAATGCCAGACCGTCCATTTAAAAACAAAGAGCATGAAGATATCGATAGACAGAGGGAAACCTCAAGAAGTCCATGTTATACACAAAGGCCTAATAGAAGGAGGACATAGGCCGACTGTTGTAACATACACTAATCTATTAGTAGCCTTGACTCTCCAGAAACGTTTCAAGTCCATTCCCCCGCTTCTCACAAAGATGGAAGGGAGTGGATTAAAACCCGACTTGTTTTTCTTCAATGCCATGATCAATGCCTTTTCTGAGTCTGGAAATGTCAATGAGGCCCTTAGAATCTTCTGGAAAATGAAGGAGGAGGGGTGCAAGCCCACAGTGACTACTATTAATGCGCTGATCAAAGGATTTGGAGTGATTGGTAAGCCTGAAGAAGCTTTGAAGCTCTTAGAAAGGATGTCACTAGAAGAAAATGTGAAAGCAAATGCGAGAACTTATAATGTTGTTATACAATCATGGTGTAACCAGAACAATGTTGAGAAAGCATGGGAAGTAGTTCATAAAATGGTTAAGATTGGTTTGAAACCTGATGCTTTCACATATAACACAATAGCGAGGGCCTATGCACAGAATAATGAGACAAGCAGAGCAGAAGCATTGATTTTTCAAATGCGCAATGAAAAAGTGGATCCCAATGTAATATCATGTGGCATCATTGTGGATGGGTACTGCAAAGAAGGCAACCTGGCAGATGCATTAAGATTCTTATACAGTATGAGGGATTTCGGCCTGCGTCCTAATCTGCATATATTCAACTCTCTTATCAAAGGTTTTCTAGACTCAAATGATGCAGATGGAGTTGACGAGGTATACATGGAATTTAATATATTCATGCTCACAAGAGGATTAACAAGTGATTACATTATCCCCCCCTAGGTTCACTAATGCACCACTTTCTTTAAATCTCAACATTAAAATGCAATTTTATTTTTTATTAGTTGCACACTTGCACATGATAACTCATTTATCCTGTCATGTTCTATGATGTGGATTTTGATTTATAGAATATCAATACCGCAACCAATCACGAGTCCAGCGTAAATATTGAAACCTTGCTCGTTTTTCATGAAATTAGTGTTAATTAGTTGGCGCCCCATATATCACCACTTATAGTGTCTGTTCTTTTTGTACTTTTCCCTAATATATTTTGCATTATTAATGGGAAAAAGGAAATGCCCCTAAACTACATATGATTACTAACAAATATATCTCTCGACTTTCTTTTAGAGCAATTAAACACAAAATTGTAAAGTTGGAACATATATTCCCTTATATGAGTTATATCCAAATAGTGTGGTGGTATATATGTTCTCATATTTAGGTCAAGGATATAGATGTCTTTGGCATACAGTTCAAGGTGTATTGTTCCTTCTCTCTTATTAATGTTGAATTTCATGTGCTCTTTAAAGTTTTGTACATCTCGCATGTCCTCAAATTACTTATATGATTTGGGCACACCTAATAAACAAATGAAACTGAGTCCAAGATTTGTTTAAAAATGAAAGGAAAAAGCATCAACCTCAAAATCTTTTTGCAAGTGTCCCGAAAATGATACTATCGGATATATTTCTATCATATATGTGGAGATAAACCTTACCTCTTGTGATATCTGTGTTTCACACAAACAGTTTGGGTTGGCCGTTTGGCCCATATATCCACTCAAGCTGTTCAGCAAAAGGTAACTGCTGTACTGTTTGATGATTTTTTAAGGCAAGTCATGCCCAATTTAACACTTTTAAAATTGAAAATTAGAAGATAATTTTGTGTGGGACAAATATTTATATAGAGAAGCTAGTTTTGGAAGAGATGGAGTAATTAAACGCATTGATAGTTTATCGTATTTTGCTTTCATCTTGGATGTCATCCCATATGAATTCGCGATCTTTGTAAACAACCGAGCAGGCACTAACATTGATGGAAGAATTTGGGGTGAAGCCAAACGTGATCACATTCAGCACCTTGATGAACATGTGGAGTTCATCCGGACTAACAGAAAAATGTGAAGAAATATTCAAAGACATGATCAAGTCTGGAATCCAACCCGATGCCCACACATTCAGCATCCTTGCAAAAGGATACGTTCGTTCTGGGCAACCGGAAAAGGCCGAATCGCTCTTGGAGCTAATGGCAGCCCATGATGCCTCCCCAAACGTGGTGATGTTCACAACAATAATCAGCGGCTGGTGCAGTGCGGGAAAAATGGAGCATGCTTCCGGATTGTACCGAAAGATGCTTCAAATGGATGTCCAGCCAAATCTTCAAACCTTTGAGACCCTTATTTGGGGTTATGGTGAAGCAAAGCAGCCATGGAAGGCCCAAGAGTTGATTCAAAGTATGGAGGAAATGGGTGTTTCTCCAAGCAACAACACATATAAGCTTGTTGAAGATGCATGGAATGCCGTTGGATTAATCAACGAGGCTAAACAAGTGTCAAATTATTATTACCATCACGAAGAAAAAGACTCACAAGGGAAATTGAATGGTTCTCTCTCGAACAAACAGGAAATGCCAAGATCTGTTATAAGCAACAAATCCAGCTCAAGAAATTTCAGATTTAGAAGCAAGGTGATCATGAAGAACTGTGGATTTAAACTGAAGGCGTTGGTGGTAAGCCCAATACCAAAGCACGTTCATTTTGGAATTCATTGCTACATGTAAATATGTCATAACCTAATTGTTCATTTTATCTGGCAATATATGAGTGATATTGGTTAACTTCTTGAGTGTTTTCTTGATTAAAATTTGACAGAAAGGAATAAATAGGTGAGAAATTTGGTAGAATGACAATTTCTTGTTTGTAGCAACAATAAATTTATGAAAAGGGCCACATTAGACACTAAATATTTTTTAATGTCATATTGGTCAGGTTTCATATAGATTAAACACACTATGGTTTAATGTGAATCTCATATTGATATGTATGAATTTCGATAATATGGTTACATGTAAATCTCATTGATCATTAGGATTTTAAATTATTCAAGTAAGTACAATTTTAATGTTTTTTGGTTATTTTTTACATTCACTTACTATTCTCTTTTTATGTTTATAGTATTCTCTTTGTATGTTAATTAATAGAAATTGTTACTCTCATTTTTCCTTTTTTTGTGTCAATAAACTACGTAGTATTAATTGATGTATTTAGTTTTAGAATATACTAGTATCATTCAATGTTTTAATTAAGAACATCTCATATTTAAGATTTTAAACTTTTAATTTCATATGATCTTTATGTATTGTTAAATTGAATTAATGAAATAAAAGATTTTTGTTACATTACTGTATTTATAAGATTTCCTTACTTATAACATCTAATTATATTTTTTCAAAAGGAAAACACTATTTATTAGTGACAAAAGTGATCACTACAAAAGCAATTCGGATAGTTTAAGGAGAAAATTTGCTAACCTTGCAAAGATATAAACTCCTCTATCAATATAGAAGCCTTTGATACTAAAAGAATAATTAACACTAAAAAATACTAAAACTAGTCTGAGATTGTCAAATACTAATAAATGATAGGAGTGACACCTATTGTGAGAGTCTCGTCGTCTCGATTGTTGTGATTTGACAATGTGTGTAGAAGATCGGATAGTGTTACTTCTTATGATAAAAGATAGAAAAGACGAAAAGCGGTCATTCCTCCGCTTTTCGTCTTTTCTATCTTTTATCATTTTATGTTGCTTATGTTCTTTATCTTTTTTGTCTTATCCTTTTTATTTTATAGTATTATAATTTTTCTTATTTTATCTTATCATTTCATCTTATTTACTCAAATTTCAAATGCCAATTTATGTTGGCTAATCTTATACTCTTTTGAGATTGAGACTTAGATGTTGTCGTTTTTAAAAAATAGTTACGGTGTGAAATTGCTATGAATTTATTCTCTCTGGTAAGACTTGCTAATTGGAATTATTTGAGTTTTTCCGGATTAATGTTAATTAATTAAATAATTACGAAAATATTGTTGGGTTAAAAGTATTTACGGATCTACTGTTGGGCCTAACCTGAGTTAGGCAAAGTCGCCAAACGGTTTGGCGACTTATAAGTCGCCATCCGGTTTGGCGACTTATAAGTCGCCATCCGGTTTGGTGACTTATAAGTCGCCAAACCGTTTGGCGACTTTTCCTGTTAATAAACGTTAACACCCAAACTCTCTGTTTCAGACCGGCACCGGTTAGAGGCCAACATGGGTCGGTCGGACGACCTCCGGTGAGAAAATTTTTCGTTTTTCGTCCTAAATGGATCCTGATTGTCGCAATTCACCGTTTGCCGACTTACAGAACACATATAAAACACAATTTGGTAGAAATGATACAAAGCGACACACGTGCTCAAAAATACAGTATAAAAACAGTGTGTAGACATCCGATATGCATAACCAAACACATCAACACTTCATAAACAAATGACAAAATACTAATAACACAATATCCATTAGTTTGAAGGTGAAAATATGTACAAAAGTGAAGTGTTTCTACAACATTTGGTGTACATGAGTAAGTCCAATAATAAAGAGACTACAAGTTTTCATGGTCTTCTTGATCATCTTCGTCATGGAGTTGTGGTTGTTGACGCATACGCCTACGCCTCTGTCGTGGTTGAAGAACAACTCTGTCCCGCTGAGTCTAAGATGTAGAGCCCACCGTTGCTGCTGATGATGTCGATGCCATATAATCCTGAGAGGGGGTCATATATGTATAAGATGTCCATAGTCCACTCGGTCCAACACATCTGAAAACAACGAAGCAATGCCCGTCAGAACCTGATCGTACATGTCCACGTCATGCGTATCATTAACTGTGACAGTCGTTCACTCATGTATACGCTGTAATGCCCGTGTCTGAAATGTGAAACATGAATTATAATTATTTTGAAATAAATAAAAATCTTAAATAAAGAACATGAAATACTTTTGTAATTAGTAGCACACTCACCTCAAGTGTAAAGCCATGGAACTAGGCTTGTAATGGTGAGTATGGAGTCTAAAAGAAGGAGAGGCAAACACCCGTGTGATATTGTAATACCATCTCATGTAGTCTATAGAAACAGATGGGACTAACGTAGGCGTCCCAATCACAGCAAGCTCTGCTCGCCTCTCTCATACAGTCACGTATTTAACATGTTTGAGCGACCAATCCTCTGTAGGCTTCCCACGTCTATCCAGCTTATGAAGATCTACACATGTGTCGACGAGTGCTGAAATGACATGCTCATACCCAAACTGCCGCAGTACACGATCTGGCAAATGAAGCTCAACAATGTCAAAACAGATCAACGGGACACGTGCTCGCCATATATCATAGTGCTCTCGTCTTGTCGAAGGCAACTCCCCTAGCATCTGAGCTGTATATGGCATCCATGTAATATGTTTCAAAAGGAAATAAAATTAGTCTTACTACTTTTCATATGATAGGTAATGTTATATGATGTACAACAAACCTGATCATCTGACATGAGATCAAATGCATCTCTATAGAAACCGAGTCTAGTAGTCGATGATGTGCGGCAAAGATCAGCAAATTGTCATCTAACCATTCATGTAGTACATATTAATATAAATATAATTCATATAATTATTTAGAACACACAATAACATAAATATAACTTCTCCCAACCTCCAAATATTTCGGCGATGGCCTTTTGTTTGCCCATCCATGTACGTCTGTACGAAACTGTATAACCATATTTTTCCTTCAGCAACTCAATAATAGTATGGACTTTCAGGGATGGGTCAGTGCGAATAAGGTCAATAATATCTTGAAAGATAAAATCTGAAGTAATCGTCACATGATCATTGCCGTCATTGTTGCCAACACAGGTAGCAGAATGGGGTCCTGGATAACGCACAACTGTGAACATGTCAAAACTGGCATGTTTCTTTGTGGCTCGTATTCTCCATGTGCAATCACGTTCCTTCTTTCTCTTGCACTCTGTAACCCATTTATGTTTGTTTGACTCTAGCACACGATAAAATTGGTTATGTTTGATAGAATATGATGAGTTGTTCTTGGTTGTCAAACTGATGACCAACCTCAAACTCATCATCTTCTGTAAACCTTTTCACACTTGTTCCACTCTTTCATGCATCATCAAATCCAGAAGGGAGATCATACAATCTAATATAATGGCTAGATGGAGCAGTTGCGGTCACAATATCACCATCATCTTCATCTGATGCTGTCATTGCATCATCATTGATGCGTTCATCAGCATCATCATCGGTTTCATGGCTATCCAAAAAGGATGCACCATTGTGCAAATACCGTCCATCCTCTACAAACATGTCCAAAACAGCATTATTTGAGGAAGCCGCAACATTAAGACCATGTGCCCAGATACAACAGCATTTGAAGTTGATGGAGTTACAAAAGCGTCACCTATACAATTTGAAATGTATATCTCCATTGTGGACATAGTCATCATTTGAACTATCGTCACAATGCCGTGACAGCTTCCTCATCATCAAGTGGCATAAGCATGTATGAACCCCGTGAAAGGGATATTTCACCTGCACTTGCAAAGAATGACTCAGGGGTATCTGTGTAGCAACATACTCCCTCTGTTCCTATTTTATCTTCCAAATAGATTTGGCACACAATTTAAGATAGTAGGTATTGTGTGGTGGAGAATTGTGCAGAGGAGAGAGAAATGTGTAAGAAATGTTGTGAACCAAAAATTATTTACTAATTGGAAGTTAGAAGTTTTAATAGGAACGGAGGGAGTATAATTTTTGCACCATCTCACGCATATATGCGCCACGACAAACAACAAACATCCGTCTCCTACCACCTTCATATCATATACTACGCTTCCTCAAATAATTTCCATCCCCAATGACACACTATTAGGAATTTGGAGAAATTCATATTCTAATAACAATACTTGACGATAATTGATGAATACACATTAATAATTTAATATACACACTTTATACACCCAAATTCAACATTCGGTAGACATAAAACATATTTAAAAACTCTCATATTTAAAAAAATCATATTACATATACAATAATTAACAAAATGAAAATAATAGGTTTTTCACATACAAAAACTCACAATATCACATAAAAATTAACATTACACAACAAATGCACAACATCAAAAAATTACATTGAATTCAAGATTAAAATTCAACATTTCATACATATTCACATTTCACAAAAAATCAATTCCTAATTCACAAATTCGAAAATCATCAATTAAAACCCAAAGTTGAAAATGAGATGAAATTGGGGTTTTGATGTACCTAGAGGTTGAAAAAGATGATTGGGGAGTGTATTTGGTAGGTGAAACGGACTCCCAGTAGTTGTAGTCGCCAAAGTGGGGTGCTACAATCTGTCTTCACTGGACCTTTTTTTTGTAGTTGTTGCAAAAAGGACTAATCTGTTTTTGCAAGGGTGTGACCGTGGTTTATTGAGGAGGAAAGTCATCAAACCGTTTGGCAACATTCACTAACCCAGATTAGTCCAGCAGTAGATTCATAAATATTTTTAACCCAACATTATTTTAGTAAATATTTAATTAATTTGCATTAATCCGGAAAAAAAAAACTAGAATTATTTGAAGTCCTACCTTTTTAGAACCCAACTTTCAAAAGTTGAAATTATAAAAAATGACTAATTGTAAAAAGTCAAATATCTAGTAGACTTTGTAATCTTTTTCTTGAGTAGGCTTTGGTTTGATCTCCATGCTCTCTAAAATGCCATATTGACTTGGCACTGGGGAATAGGACTGTTAACAAGCCGAGTCAAGCACGAACACCGAAACAGCTCAAATTCGACTCAATAAGGAAAGAGTTTCCGGTTCGATAAGCGTTCAATGTTCAAACTGAACGCTAATAAGCTCGATTAATATGCTCAAATTTAAAATTTTAGGTAATAGTTAATAGGCTCATGCTCGAATCTTTTTTAGATTCATAAAAGTAGACTACTTATA